CACTCCAATTGTATCGTTTAATCACGGTAACATACGGTACTGCTTCGGCACCTTTTTTGGCAATTCGTTGCTTAAAGTACCTGAGTGAGCTACATGCGGTTTCCCATCCATTGGCATCAAAGTCGCTGGCTAGCGATTTCTATGTAGATGATCTGCTATCTGGAGCAGACACAGTGGAAGAATTGCGAATGTTACGGAATGAGCTAGTTTCAGTGCTCGAATCATTCGGTTTCACCTTAACGAAATGGGCATCAAATTGTGAAACATTTAAAGCGTCGCCTTCTGACGAAATGGTGATCGGCCATCAGGAGGATACGAAGACGTTGGGGCTCATTTGGAGCCCGCGTGAAGACGCTTTTAAATATTCGATGTCGAACATGTCGATAGACATTGCCCCCACCAAGCGCTCGATTTTATCGTTTATATCCAGGTTATACGACCCTCTTGGTTTACTTTGTCCGATTATCACTCGACCAAAAATTCTGATGCAAGAAATTTGGCTTCAAAAATCCGCCTGGGATGACCAAATTCCCGACCATTTACTGTCCGACTTGCAGTCAATTGCGCAGTCATTTTGTGAGATTGAAGCTATACGCATTCCCCGATATGTTGGCGTCACCAAAGGCACAAAGTGTCAGGTTCATGGCTTTGCCGACGCATCGACAAGGGCTTATGGGTGCTGTATTTACCTGCGAATTGAGCGAGAGCACACAGTAACTGTGAATTTGCTGACTGCAAAGTCGAAGGTAGCGCCTCTGAAGACAAAGTCGGTGCCACGCTTAGAATTGTGCGCAGCACAGTTGCTAGCAAATTTGTAGGAGAAAGCTCGGCATCTTCTCCATGTGCCTGTTGACCAAATCGTATTTTGGTCTGATTCAGAGGTAGTCCTGCATTGGTTGCAAACTCATCCTTCACATTTGAATACATTTGTCGCCAATAGAGTTGCTACCATACAGGAATTGACATCAGACGCCACTTGGCGCCATGTACCGACTGCAGAAAATCCAGCTGACTTAACTTCGCGTGGTTGTACCACTGCAGAATTGATTGATTCACATTGGTTTGGTGGTCCAAAGTTTTTACAGAATGACCAGAACCTTTGGCCAACTAATTCTCACATTAAGTTGACCAAAGAGCAATCAGTGCTGGAGAAGCGGAAGAATGCGACGGTTCTCATCGCGGCCGATAATGCTTCAAATCCAATTTTGGATTTAATTGAAAGGTCGTCGTCGTACTTAAAAATTCTCCGCATAGTGTCGTACATGTTTCGATTTATAAACGGAAAGGGGTCAGGACACTTATCGCTTGTGCCAACTTCGGCTGAATTGCACTTCGCCTTTTTAGCTATTGTGCACGTGATCCAGTATACTGCTCTCGCAGCCTGTATGATATACAGTTTTTAAACTAAAAGTGACTTATTCACAAATTGTTCCGTTGAATGCTATATGATATGTTGAGGCATAATAAGAAATCCGTAAATAGATTTCAATGAGAAAATCATAATGAACAGTATAGTTTTCTAAGATTAAGAGTGATTTATTCACCAATCGTACTTATGACAGTTATATAACATACTGCTCATATTGTGATGAACCTTCAGATTATTCTTAGGCATAATAAAAAATGCATAAATACACATTTTGGTGGAAAACTCGTAATATGATATACAGTTTTTAAACGGAAAGTGACTTATTCACAAATTGTTCCGTTGAATGCTATACAAGTATGATATGTTGAGGCATAATAAGAAATCCGTAAATAGATTTCAATGAGAAAATCCTAATAAAACATATAGTTTTCTAAGAGTAAGAGTGATTTATTCACCAAACATACTTATGACAGTTATATAACATGCTGCTCAGATTGTGATGAACCTTCAGATTATTCTTAGGCATAATAAAAAATCCATAAATACACATTTTGGTGGAAAACTCGTAATATGATATACAGTTTTTAAACTAAAAGTGACTTATTCACAAATTGTTCCGTTGAATGCTATATGATATGTTGAGGCATAATAAGAAATCTGTAATAGATTTCAATGAGAAAATCATAATAAACCATATAGTTTTCTAAGAGTAAGAGTGATTTATTCACCAATCATACTTATGACAGTTATATAACATACTGCTCATATTGTGATGAACCTTCAGATTATTCTTAGGCATAATAAAAAATCCATAAATACACATTTTTGTGGAAAACTCGTAATATGATATACAGTTTTTAAACTAAAAGTGACTTATTCACAAATTGTTCCGTTGAATGCTATATGATATGTTGAGGCATAATAAGAAATCCGTAAATAGATTTCAATGAGAAAATCATAATGAACAGTATAGTTTTCTAAGATTAAGAGTGATTTATTCACCAATCGTACTTATGACAGTTATATAACATACTGCTCATATTGTGATGAACCTTCAGATTATTCTTAGGCATAATAAAAAATCCATAAATACACATTTTGGTGGAAAACTCGTAATATGATATACAGTTTTTAAACTAAAAGTGACTTATTCACAAATTGTTCCGTTGAATGCTATACAAGTATGATATGTTGAGGCATAATAAGAAATCCGTAAATAGATTTCAATGAGAAAATCCTAATAAAACATATAGTTTTCTAAGAGTAAGAGTGATTTATTCACCAAACATACTTATGACAGTTATATAACATGCTGCTCAGATTGTGATGAACCTTCAGATAATGCTGAGGCATAATAAAATATCCATAAATACACATTTTGGTGGAAAACTCGTAATATGATATACAGTTTTTAAACTAAAAGTGACTTATTCACAAATTGTTCCGTTGAATGCTATATGATATGTTGAGGCATAATAGACAAGTCGGTGATCCTGCAACCGTCGTACCAAAAGCTTAATCCATTTCTGAGTCCGTATCAGTATGGAAAGCCAACTTTGATGTTGGTACGAGTTGGCGGCCGTTTACTCAAAGTGCCGTTGCCCCACAATGCGAGATTCCCATTACTCATGCCAAAGGGATGGCGATTTGTTAATTTATATCTGCGATACTCGCACCTTACCAATTGCCATGCAGGCCCTCGTGCGCTCTTGGCTATTCTTCGCCAGAATACTTGGCTGGTAAACGCAAAGCAAGCGTGCAACGCAGTGGTTCGGCAGTGTGTGCATTGTTTTCGATACAAGCCAATACTAGCCAACCAAATAATGGGAAATTTACCTGCTGATCGGCTACATGGATGTAGGCCGTTTGAAGTCAGCGGAGTGGACTTTTGTGGTCCAATTCCTGTCACGCTGGGGATACGTGGCAGAGCGCCAGTTAAGATGTACGTTGCCGTCTTTGTTTGTTTTACGTCCAAAGCTGTGCACATTGATATCGTTTCTGACTTGACTGCTAATTCCTTTATAATGTGTTTATCCAGGTTTGTGGGTCGCCGTGGAGCAGTCAAGCGACTATATTGCGACAATGCCACCAATTTTGTGGGTGCAGCGCGCTTGCTGGAGGAGTTCCGGGCCACTTTCATCAGCAACCAGGATGCCATCAGGTCGTATGCTGCCACGAAGGGAATAACGTTCCAGTTTATTCCCCCTCGAGCGCCGCATTTCGGCGGCCTATGGGAAGCGGCGGTAAAGTCGGCAAAGGGGCTTCTCCTCAAGGCAATAGGAAGCGCCAAGCTGCGGCAGGACGAGCTAGCAACCGTACTGGTAGAGGTGGAGGCCATCCTCAATTCACGGCCAATCGTGGTGGACGGAGTCAATCCCAACGACGGCGAGGCGATAACTCCAGCTCACCTACTCTTAGGCGGAACGCTCGTGCCGCTTGGCTTATTTGTCATTGTCTGCGTTGGCATTGTGGTCCGTGTGCCCGGGAGGCTTTTTGTTGTTTCAGTGGCCCAGGCGACAGAAGTTGTCACCTGCGATGCACTGGCAATGGCACGGAGGATAAGGTTTAGGGCAGATTAGGATAAATTTGTATCCAAAGAGGCATGTAGGAAGGTGAGATCTCTTCACAGTCATCCATCCAGATGAGGATGAATGGAACAGTGAATAAAGATCTCGCGATACATAAATAAAAGATGAATCTGGTAAAGTATGTAAAGCACAGAAAGGAGCAACTGGTGGTTCCGGTCGGAATTTCCCCTCATTGAATTAGTCAAACGTGAGAGTTTTTTTTTTATATGTTTTTTTGATGTTTTTGTTTGTAAGCTGAAATAGAAAGAAAAGAAGATAGCATTTTTTTTTTGTGTTGTGTAAATTTTGGGGAGTTTATTGGTTTAGTGCAGGTACATTTTTATGCGTATATACATATATATTTTTTGTTGTGTATAGTGCAAATTTTGTCATTTTTATATATTTTATTATTTATAATTTTTATTCCATCGTCTTATTTAAATATTTATTTCGCATATATCATATATATATTTTCTTTCGCATAATTTACTTTTGGTCGTTGGGTACAATTATATACAAATATCATTTTAGTTTTTTTTGGAATATAAAAATATACGTTGTTTTTGGTACACAAAATTTGACCGCAGCGGTTTGTTTTGCGAAATATAATACAGATAATAAATATAGAAATTATACAGGTAATAAATAATATAAAATGGAGCAGGACACGCAGCGCGAAGGGCGCTCGTATAATACGAGGGCGCAGGCAGCTCGAGAAGGTGGGCTGGTAGAGTTCGATGAAGGCTCGGAAGCGGGTGCTGTGGCGGCGCGGTCTGGCAGTCTGCTGTGAACACCGCCCAGACAGCATTCGAGGCAAGAGGATCGACGTGATGGCACACCGGGGCGCGTCGATAGCGAAGTGGCGTCAGCGGTAAATGTTGCCATTGCACAGGCCAACCAAACCTATCGGCATGCGCAGGTGGACGGACTAAACCAGGTGTTGCAGGAGGAGATTCGAAAAGGCTTTCTGGAATTAATGCGAGCTGTTAACGAGGCATTGGTACCGGTCAGAACAGGCGTGGACTACGTACCTGAATTGCGCGCCGAGCAGCAAGTGTCTTATTATGGCAGCAGAGGAGCAGTTCCGAAAAGGTCTGAGCCAAGGCGGAGCGCAAGCAGGGCCCAAATACACTACGGCTCGAGCCGAGAGTATAGGCGGCAAAGCGACAACACGTCGAGCAGCATGGACGGAGCGAAGCGGCTGCGAGGAACTGGCGAAATCCGGGGAGCGCTCAGCGGCCAAGGCGCGTAGATTTCCGGGGCCACGATGATGCGCAGCAGGCTGATCCACCCCACCATACGTTCAAGAGAACGAAAGTTGAAAAATGGGGCCTATCGTTTGATGGCGACAGACATAAAGTGGCTGTGGAGGATTTCGTGTTCCGTGTGGAGTTTTTAAAGCGGCAGTGCAGATGTTCCTGGCCTGAAGTTTTGAATAATTTCCATCTATTGGTGAGCGGCAACGCGAGAGAGTGGTACTGGCAATATGTGCGTGACCACAGGGCCGATAGCTGGCAGGAATTGAAGCGTAGCCTGATTGCTCGGTTTAGAGGCGCCGCCGATGAGTTCCAGCGGATGCAGGAGTTGCGCGAGAGGCGACAAAGGCCCACAGAAAGCATCGAGGACTTCTTCCACGCCATGAGGAAGCTGGCATCACGGTTGCAATCACCACCAGCCGAAATGGTAAAAATAATCAAAAAGGGGCTGAAAGTCGAAGTGGCGCGGTATGTTTACGCTCTTTGAATGTATAGCGTGGACCATCTGCGTGACGAGTGCGTGGAGGAGGAGGCAACGATGGAGCGGCAGGATGGAAAGCCTGCATACCGCAGTGGTTTTAGAGCTGGTCCTAGTGGGCGAACAAGGCCCATGGACGAGTTGGAGGCCAATTTTGGAGGGCCTGATGCAGCAGACGACGTAGCCGTAGAAGCGGCGCGAGTCACCAGGCGTGTGCAGCTGCAATTAAATTGCTGGAACTGTGGCCAAGCGGGGCATGGTTTCCGCGATTGCATGGCGCGAGAGCGGCATATATTTTGTTACCGCTGTGGACGACCAGATACGTATAGTCCGCAGTGTCCGAGCTGTACGGGAAACGGGCGGCGGAGTGCGGTACCGGTGGGCGAATCGCGTTCGGCAGCTGTGCCCACACCACTGGCCGGAGGTCGAGCCTAGAACAGAGCGAAGAAAATATTAATCCTAGGTGTAAGGGTAGTATTAGGGGTTTACCGATGGAGGAGCGGATGCGACCTTACCTAGAGGCGCAAAACAGGGTATTTCATCAGCATCAGCTCGCCGGAATGCGGATACTTACCACCCGCGTTGCGAAGGCGAGGACGCGGTTTAAGAAAAGGCGTCAAATGAAGCGACAAGTCGCGGTCGCTAGGGTATTTGCCGAGGTCAAGGTGAAAGGCCGCCAGATACTAGGTCTGCTGGATACCGGCGCGTCGGTGAGCATTCTTGGTAAAGATAGTCGGGAATTGCTGTAGGAGCTGGATTTACACGTGAAGAAGTATGCCTCACAAGTGCGGACAGCATCGGGTGAAGACCGGTCCATTATTGGACGCATCCGGGTGCCTGTGGAGTATAAAGGTATGATTAGAGAAATAACATTCTATGTGTGCCCCTATGTACCTGGGAGTCGATTTTTGGCGAATTTTCGAGCTGGCTCCAGCGTGAATCTGGCAACGCTAAAAGCTGCGTAGATGAGATTTTGGCTGAGCGAGTGGCGCACTACGTCGATGGCGAAGACCCGAAGCCAGAGCCGGAAATGGGACCTGGAAGATTGGCAAAAGAAGGTTGTGGAGTCGGTAAAGGAGGAGTTTCTGACATTTGAAAAGGCAGGATTGGGAAAGACCACAGCAGAGACCCATAAAATTGAGCTGTCACCCGCGATGAAGGAGCTGGTGTATCGGGAGGTTGATAATATGTTGGCGTTAAGGGTTATCGAGGTAAGCAACAGCCCGTGGAGTAACCGCACCACCGTAGTGCGACGGCCGGGTAAGAACCGCTTTTGCCTCGACGCCCGAAAGCTCAACAAACTCACGGCTAAAGACGCGTATCCACTCCCTTGTGTAGAAGGCATATTATAGGGACTGGATCAAACTTTTTATATTTCTAGCGTCGATCTGAAGTTCGCATTCTGGCAAATTGAGTAGGACGAATCCAGTAAGGCGTATACGGCATTCACAGTGCCCGGGCGACCACTGTACCAGTTTCGAGTGATGTCATGCGGTCTGTGTAACGCAGCACGGCTGATGGACAGGGTCATTCCCACAGAGCTCAGGTCGAACGTCAAGGTGTATTTGGATGACCTCGTCATATTCGCGGCGGACTTCGAGACACACATGGACTACCTGCGGAAAGTAGCAAAATGCTTGAGAGAGGCGAATTTGACCATTGGACTACAGAAGTCCAAGTTGTGCTTCAAATCTTTAAAGTACCTCGGGTATATTGTGGGAGGAGGCACGTTGAGAACGGACCCAGAGCGGTGGTGGCAATACAGCGCATTCCAGTACCGCGGTCGGTGCGTGAGGTGCGGTCGTTTCTAGGCACCGCTGGCTGGTACAGGAGGTTTGTCAAAAAGTTTGCTTGCGTGGCCGCGCCGCTTACGGATGCACTGAAGAAACGAGCCGGAGGACGATTCGCGCTGGATGATGAGGTCAGGGATTCACTCGAGGCACTGAAGAAGTCGTTGATAACGGCTCCGGCACTCGTGCATGCCGATTTTGGCCGACGATTTTTTGTGCAGTGCGACGCGTCGCAGGCGGGCGTCGGAGCGGTGCTATTCCAGCTGGACGACGAGCAGAATGAGAGACCAGTAGCCTTCTTTTCGGCCAAATTCAACAACACCAGAGCAACTATTCCGTGACGGAGAAGGAATGCCTAGCGGCGGTCCTGGCGGTGCAGAAGTTTCGGCCATACATCGAACTCATGCCGTTCACTGTCATAACAGACCACGCCAGCCTGAAATGGCTAATGACGCTAAAGGACTTGTCCGGACGATTGGCGCGGTGCTCCAGGGCTACGACTTCGAAATCCAGCATCGTAAGGGGTCGGAAAACGTGGTGGCAGACACGTTATCCAGAAGTTTGGGCGAAGAAGCGGTGGATGAACTGGCGCAAGCTCCAGGTGGAATTCTAGGCATGGAAACGGCTGAATTTGAATCGGAGGGATACCGAGAATTGGTTAAAGAAATTGAAAGAAATAAGCCTTGCTTACCTGACTTGCAAGTCGTGGACGGTGTCATTTACAAACGGACCGCATTCAACCGCCTTGAGGAACAGCTGGACGGAATCGAGTGGAAGCTGTGGGTGCCCAGCGCGTTGACAGGGGCCCTGATTACGAGAGCCCATTGCGAGGAAACAGCGGCACACGGAGGAGTGGCGAAGACGCTGGAAAATCTACGGCGGTACTTCTATTGGCCGAGGATGGCGTGTCAAGTCCCGGATTTTGTGCGAGGCTGCCAAGTCTGCAAAGAGACCAAGGCGGCAAATTTTAAAATGCAGATCAGTATCGGTGCTGAGGTGGTGACAGGGCGGCCTTTCCAGAAGCTATATGTCGATTTCCTAGGAAAATACCCTAGATCTAAGCAAGGCCAAGCGTTTATATTCATCGTCGTCGATCATTTTACGAAGTTTACCTTCTTGAAAGCGATGAGGAAGGCTACGTCGGAAAATGTGGTGGAGTTTCTGGTGAACAACGTCTTTCACACATTTGGAGTGCCAGAGGTGATCCATTCAGACAACGGGCGGCAATTTACATCAGCGACGTTTGCGGAGATGATTGGTGCATACGGGATCAAGCATCTGAAGACTCCGGTGTATTCGCCCCAGAGCAACGCCTCGGAACGGGTCAACCGCACAGTATTGGCAGCCATCCGAGCGTACTTAGAAGAAGACCATAGGGAGTGGGATTTGCATCTGCCGAAAATCGAGGTGGCGATTCGAAACAGCGTGCACGCGGCAACAGGAGTGACGCCGTTCTTTGCACTCTTCGGGCAGCACATGATGTTGCATGGGTCCCAATATGACTTGGCGAGAAAACTGAAGTCGATGGGCGACCACGAGATGTCAGTATTAAATAAAAGCGACAGACAGAAACTGGTCCAGGAGAAGGTGCAAAGACAACTGCATACCGCGTATGAGCGAAGTAGAGCCCGCTTTGACCAACGAGCGCGTAAGTTCCATGCTGTCCCGGGCCAAGAAGTCTACCGCCGAAACTTCGTACTCAGCGACTTTAGCAAAGCCTTCAACGCGAAGTTTGCTAGGAAGTTCCTGAAGTCGAGAGTGGTCCGAGCCGTTGGAAGCAACGCGTACGAACTTGAAGATCTGCAAGGAAGGCCTCTGGGAATTTTCCACGCAAAAGATTTGCGCTCCTAAGCGCGAGCGAAGAGTGGGTGTGGCCTACGTTGGGCGCTTCGGAAGGATCGACAGCCGAATTCGCGCATCGGCGGAAATGATGCGCGCAAAGGTTGCAGCATTCCGGATGGCGTCATTCGCACCTTTGCGTTGGTGTTACATCGGATAATTATCGGCCGCAGTTTCTGGCAACGCCGGCATACATGGGTCGCCTCAACCGGTTACCAGCGCCACCTTGCGGTACCGGCAAGTGACAGTGTGAGCTGTTGCGGACGCAGGGCATGGTTGTTTGGCGTAGAAGTATGAAAAGGATAAACGAACGTAAAAAGGATTGGGAATTATCACGCGGTACAGGGAATGGAGCCGACGCGGTAATCGACATTTTGCTGAGGATATTGGAAGAGTGCGGTTGTGCAGTGGGACTCTGCTGTCGTTTTTTTGTTCTGTTTAACCTGCAAATTGGTAAGAGAGCAAGGCGTGTAGTTGTGGAAAGAATGAACATTTACTGATACATTATATACGTCTACAGAAGTTGTAGACCCAGCAGCAGATGAATGGCCGCTGGGTCTCTTGATTAACTCTGGCCGTATAAACCATCCACGGATTTTGTGGCCCCTATCACATGCCACATCGTCTCGCCGACCACCATTTCAACACTCGTTGAGGCTGCATGTTCTTGCCCCATCGTGACCCACTTTCAGAGGAGGCTGTAGCAGAGTAGAGGTGTTAGGCTGGCCGACATCAATTGTAGGGCCGATGAGAAAGTGTTGTTCATTTAGAACTGAAATGTTAAATAAAATAATCGTTTGCGTATACATAGGGCGTATAAATCTTTATATGTATGTATGTACACTGACGCGTATTCAGTGTGAATAGTGGAATTTTATACAAAGCAATCGCATGTACATGGAAGCATAGAGATCAGTGTGGACTCGTGCGGCTAATGGAAAAAGAAGGAAAACGAGTAAAATAGTGAATGTCCGGCCATAAAAAGGTAATCAATAGCAGTGCCCCTGACCCGTAAGAGCTCTTAGGGGGGAAGGTGAATTGCGCCCATAGCTTAACTGTCGTGTAGGCCTACGATTTGTCTCGCGCTTTCGTTCCACTTCTGTTGGCTTGTATGAGTTTCGGTCCTTGTGCACATGTCCATGTTGAATCTGTACATACTTAAATATCACATATAGCACAACATTCATATACATATCACAACATTATACGCACATTTCGCAACGTTTATATATATACATACATAAATAACACAACATTTACATACATGTCATTTATATACATATCACATATATATATATATATATAGTATATATATATATATATAGTATATATATATATATATATATATATATATATATATATATATATATATATATATATATATATATATATATATATATATATAGCATATATATATATATAGTCACACTTGCATACATATCACAAAATTTATATACATATTACAACGATGATCCATTCAATTAACATCATCTACACATTCATGTACATTCATATACGTGCCGCGATACATAGTTTGTTAGTTTATATTTGTAAATTTGGCTTTGCTGCTCTGAGCATATTATAACGTTTCAAAAAAAAAAGAGATAATGACTGGGCATATATATATATATACCACTCTTGTTCTCAATATATTTTGTCGAAAACGTTCATCACGTTCATATATATATATATATATATATATATATATATATAATATAATATATATATATATATATATATATATGAACGTGATGAACGTTTTCGACAAAATATATTGAGAACAAGAGTGGCGCTGTCTCATATGAGAAACACGTTTATTAGTTAGTAAAATTAGGATATACCCTTATAATTATTCCCCTTTTTTGCACATAGCCTATCTTAAAACGTTGCGTTATCTCTATATATAAAACAGTTTGTCCTGACTAATTGGTGATCAACGCACAGCCCAAACGGTAAAAGATGAAATTTGGACTCAAGTATCCATCATAGTGTAGGAGGACACTAAGAAAGGCTCCAAAGGGGGGAAAACGATCTTTAAAAAATATTAGTTATAGTGGTCATGTTCGTTTAACGAAATAGTTTGGCAAGAACAAAAAAGTAACGGACTACTGAACAATTTTTTGTCAAGAACAGAAAATGTTCATTTAAATACCTTAAATGCCTTCCTACTTGTAACTTATAAGGTGAGAACATATGGGTAGGTTATGCACACACAAAATAAATACAATTGACCCGGGTTAAGGCGGGCAATACCTGCTAGTGTACATATAAACGTTACCAGACTTGCCGATTTTGGCGGAACGTCCAGATTTTTAATAAAAACAAGAGAGACCGCTACAGTCAAGCAAGCCCGACAGTAAAATAGCCTGCACTCTCCACAAAAAAGAAAAAATTAAAACAAAAAAAATTTAAAAAAAATTTAATTATTAAAAAAGTGAATTAATTAATTAAGTAATTAAATGAAATTAGAAGACATGTTTATGTTCAGTTTTAACAGCATACATTTACATCACGTGCCTATGCGTGTTTATATGCGTATATGTATGCAGCACAAAGTTGAACCAGAGCAGCAACAACAACAACAGATGCGGGCAGCGCATGAGCGGCGATTTTATTTATGGCTATAACTTTCTTCAGAATTGACCTATCATGATGAAACTTGGCACACGGACACATTATTAATAACTGGATGTACCTACCAAAATTTATTGACCTGGCTAGGACTTAGGGGAACCTCAATATCAAGTTTGGTTATTCTAGCTCTTGTACTTCCTGAGATCTTTGCGCTCATACAGACAGACGGACGGACGGACAGACGGACAATGCTATATCGACTCGTCTTGTCATCCTGATTAATCTCTGTATATATAAAACAGCTTGTCCTGACTGACTGATTGGTGATCAACGTACAGCCCAAACGGTAAAAGCTAGGAAGCTGAAATTTGGACTCAAGTATCCTTTCATAGTTAAAGTGCCCACTAAGAAGGGATTTTGGAAAATTCCAGCTCCAATGGGGGGAAACAGGCTCCAACGTTTGTATGAAAAATCTACAATTTTCATCTGATTAACTTCAAACTCAGGTTGTTTACTCTCAGAAAAATTCCAATATAAACAGCACTGTGCCTGTTAATAGTTTGAAATCGGTTTTTTTTTGTTTAAATTGTTGTTTATTTTTGGATTTTTTGTGAATGTGAAGGTGAAGTACACTAACTAATGTGTATGAATATGGGTAGACCTAATAAACGTGTTTCTCATATGAGACAGCGCCACTCTTGTTCTCAATATATTTTGTCGAAAACGTTCATCACACTGTCTGTCTGTCGTCTGCGAGTATCTTCTGTTCTGATTTGTTGAGTTGCGGCTCTTGTTGCAGTTTGTTCTTCTGACTTTTGAGCTTTTAGAACGCTGGGGTCGTGTATTTTTGCTGCACTCATTGTTACGGTTAGATTTTTCCGACGGCATTATACTGAAATTGAAATTCTATTTCACATATCTCATTTAAATTTGACACTCATCTACCGGGTGCCTTCGCATGATATCTAAAACCCATGTTTTAATAATTATATGGATTTCTCATGGACGCCACTGTCTAAAGTTCTGAGGTAACAATGAACAATACAGTAGAATTGAGAACGTCCTCGTTTGCAGAACCTAACCAAACTCTCATTGAAGTACCCTTAAAGTACATCCTTTCCAATAAAAAAAGAATCATCGAAATCGTGATATAAAGTTTTTGGAAAATTCAAGCTCCAAAGGAGGGAAAACGAGCTCCAAAGTTTGTTTGAAAATTCTGCATTTCTGCACCGATCACCTTTAAATTTTTATAATCTATAAAAGAATACAAACAAAATTGCATACTCGGATTTTCGAAATTTGTGGTAGAGCTTGAATTATTGGGGTTTTAATATTTATTCACCTTTTCAAATGAAAAGTTTGTGTTATACAGACGGACAGACAGGGCTTGATCGACTTGTCTCGTCATGCTAATCAAGAATATATATACTTTGTGGGGTCTCCTCCTTCTGCCTGTTACATTTTTCAGCCCCCGCAAACCTAATATACTTCTGTACATTTTATGTACAGAGTATAATTATTTAACATTTTTAAAAGTAATATTTTCTTTGTTTAGTTCATTTGGCAAGGATGTAGGCAGGTAGGTATTTCGATATAAAGTCGACCACATGTTAACTATCATGACGTACTTATTTCGCCTTAATCGTGCACTATTTAATTTTGATTTTTTGGCGCCCCTTTGGTAAAAGCTGACTACTCCCTTGACATTTGACATTAGGGTTTTTATTAGTAACTTTATGCAGCAACAACAAATTACAAAGAACGGAAATATCAAATAGTTGGGGACATCGTGCATATGTATGCATATGTACATACATATGTATGTATGTATGTCTGTGTACGTACATATATATCATGTATGTGCATTCTTATGTATGTAGGAGTGGTAGAATATAACACAGTAGCCCTGCCATACTGCAGCCCTGGTTAGGAAATGACAGTTGGCATATGCAAAAGCGAAGAGAAGGAAATTAAAGAAAACGAAGTAACAGCATAAGTAGCATCAGATCAGTCAGTCGGGCCTGATTTGTTGAGGCAGAAAGAGGTATTGAGTGTGCTTGTGCTAAAATCAAACGATGAATTAAATAAATGTTAAATAATAAATAACCTAACAGACCTACATTCCTAATGTTAATTATACAATAAAATAATTGAGAAAACTAAAGTGAGTGTATAATTTAATCGGAGTGAGGCCCTCGACAACCCATGCCCTACATGTATGTATGGATGTATACATTGTGAAAAATCGCTAGCTTTTTAGCGATCGACAAATGAAGTTAATTAATTAACAGAATGAGACGCGGAAATCTTTCGATTATTAGTATAGCTTTAATGGCTTGGATAATTGTACAAGCGATGTTCACAGTGCCGATATTGCAAGACAAGTCATTTTGCTTGCTGCCGCTACAAGTCAGCGGACCAGCACAAGAAAAACATACAAAGAGAGCACCACAGAGAGCACAGTAAAGGGCGCAATAGAGAGCGCAAAAGAAAGACTAAGAAGCTAAGTAGGGTGCTCCAAGACATTGGACAATCGAGCACTGTTGTTTGATTGTAATAAATAATGTTCTATGGTTTTAAATCAAATTTTTAAAACTTAAAACAACAACAACTGCAAATCATTGGCTCGCGCTTCTTCTCTCGTTTTGATGCCTGTTAATTTCAAAGGCAAAATGTCAAAAGTTTACAGTTACCGTCGCTAGGCAACGACTGCGTAAGCGATAGTAAAGTAGAAACCGAAAGCGGACTTACGCATTTATTTTTCTTCACGTTGCGGGCAGATGTACATATGTATGTTTGTATATGATTTGTTCTAATTGATCTCAATAAATTATAAGATGTTATTATTTAAATTTTCTGTTAATTGTATTCAAACTTCGATGGAAGTATTGATTGTATCGACGGATTCAACTATCGATTGTTTTAAAGCTCTAGCACATAGAGCATCCGACACATGCCCATCTCTAGCATCTCAGCTGATCGCATATTTACAGCGATTTACCGTTTTAGTGTTAGCTAACAACGCTACAAATGTATTCTGAACAAATCTGAGAGTCATTTACCGCCTATTTTGTGAGTGTATTCATGCGATTTACAAAAGCAGAAACAACACACCTTTTACATTCACAACAATCATATTTGGAATTGAAGACACAAATTAGTGTTGAATTAAAAAATTTAATACATACTTATACATGTGTGTATGTACACTTTCCCGCATAACTCTGCGTACACGCAAAAAAATACACAAATTTTAGCTTTAAATGTGAATATCTTTTAATATATACAACTTATTGATGTAAATGTTTTTGATTTGCTTAGATTCGACATTTTTCTTAATAACTACATTTTTTTAATATTAATATAACAATGAATATATTTTAATTCTATTTTTTAACAAAACCTTTTTGAAAAATGGACCCGCAAAAGTCTGCGTACAAGCAGACTAAACTGTGTAGAATAAGAGAATATGCAATTACAGTTATCTTAGTTGCACTTTTTCTTTTGTTTGAAGTTTGCAAAAGACTTTTGCTATGCATTGAAGTTGATTTTGATCAATCACAACCATGGCGCCATCAGGAAAAGAGATCGACACTGACCTTCGAAAATTAATAATTAATTTGCGTGTCCAGGGCAAATCTTAGAGAGAAATTGGGCAGGTGGTGGGCAGAACTCATTCATCATGTCAGAGGGTGTTTAATAATTATGTTTACTCGGGTTCGGTGTTATCAAAGCCACGATCTGGGCGTCCGTCTCTATTAAGAAAGCGAGAGGGAAAGCGTATCGTTGCTCTAGTTCGCTTAAACCCAAGGATGACTGCTCAGCAGGTGCGACTTGAGGTGGAAGAAAGGTTCTCCAAAACCATATCTGAAGACACCGTGCGCAGAATTATTAAAAAAGCTGGATATCACAGCCGAGTTGCACGTAGGAAGCCTCATATTTCAGAGGTGAATAAGAAAAAGCGAATGGAGTTGGCAAATGAGCACGTGTCGAAGCCTGCTGAATTTTGGGACAAGGTCATTTTCTCGGATGAGAGCAAGTTCTGCATTTTTGGCATAAAAGGCAAGAAATTGGTGTGGAGAAAAACTGGTACAGCCTTAAATAAAGAAAATTTAGTGCCAACTGTCAAACACGGCGGAGGAGGAATAATGGTTTGGGGGTCCATGGCAGCTAATGGCGTTGGGAAGCTGGAGTTCATAGACTCGATAATGGACCAAAAAGGCTATATCCAAGTTTTGAAGGACAATTTGCTCGCAAGTGCCCAGAAGTTGGGGCTGGAAAATGATTTTTATTTCCAACAAGATAATGATCCCAAACATACATCGATTTTTCAAAAAGGTTTTGTTAAAAAATAGAAATAAAATATTCATTGTTATATTAATATTAAAAAAATGTAGTTATTAAGAAAAATGTCGAATCTAAGCAAATCTAAAACATTTATATCAATAAGTTGTTTATATTAAAAGATATTCACATTTAAAGCTAAAATTTGTATATTTTTTTGTGTGTACGCAGAGTTATGCGGGCAAGTGTATGTATATAGGCGGATTACGCCTGCATGAAAAATTTAAATGTATGTACATATCAGCTTTGCCGAACGCTGCAATTTTGGCGGGACGTCCCGATTTATAAATCAAAATTAAATGTCCCGCGTCAGACTTTTCGGGGATAACTCGACCATGCGTACAACGTGCTGAGGAAGCACACAGTAAAGTCAGGACTGGCAGTCCGCCCAGAGAAAAAAGAATATCATATAGTAAATAAACTTATAATTATAAGCACTTTTTACTTAGCCCAGCAAAGACGGGCAAGACCTGCTAGTAATATATATACTTTGTGGGGTCTGCCACGCCTGCTACTGTGTGTTACATACATGCGCACAAAACTAGTATAGCCTTTCACCCTTTGGGTACAGGCTATAATTAATTGCCACGCGCGAGACAGGCGTAGTCCCGTTTCTTGGGGATAAGGCATATATATATACATAGAGAGAAAGCGCCAGCATGAAAAGATAAAATGTAAATAGGTATATTGTAGTATGTATGACCAGACACAGGATGTGTTGTACTATATGACCTAGATCTCGGAAGTAGTAACTTGCTATTGGCAGAGTGTCGGAAGAGAAATAGCATAATGTAAATGAACTTATAATCGTAAGCAAAAAATTGAGCCCATCAACAACGAGCAAGACTTGCTAGTATTAAATAATAAAATCAAAATTTATAAATAGAACTTTTTTCTTTCCATGCTAGCCTACGAACTTTTCGGCCTTCCTGTTATGTATGTACATGGGGTTTTGTTTTATTTCTCTTTACTATTTTAACTGTTGCTTGTTATGTGTATGCCAATTGGCAAACAAGAACTTCTTATTAAAATCGTATATCTACTGTCAATTAAATCAAGGCTAAGATTGTCTGCCAGGTGTTTAAACAAAGGTATTGACGTGACATAATTGTCGAATTGCAGTCGAATATGTTGATGCCAGGGTACTCCTATGATGCCAGGTCCCAGATAAATTTGATGCCGAATCAAGTTCTGGCTCGTGAGGCAAGACCACATCTTCGTTGTCAGTGTTAAAAATGAATTTGTAGCAGATCACTGACAAATCAATAAGATTTTCAATAACTCTTGCAATTCTTTCAATTTTTAACTCAAAGTTGGAAAAAAACATCTTGTTAGTTTCTGTCTATTCCAAAAATTAATCTCGATAGGTCATTCTGGAAGAAAGTTGTAGCAATAAATGTAATCTCTGCGGAAGCTCTACTAGCAACTGTTGTTGTTTTTGCAGCTTTGTCTCGACTCTATACACCGAAATGTACACAATTCTTACACATGTAGAGGGTATATCAAAGTCGGTACTCCCGACCTGAGCTTTACCACTTTTGTATGATTAAACAAATTAAAAATTATATATTCTCCAATAAGGGTATTAATTTTCTTTTTTTTTACAGTTGAGGTACTTCAGGGCTTAAATACTCAATTAAGTCAAGTCGATATACAGCGAATTATTAAAGTTTTGCGTAATACTCACTCAGTATACATAAAGCAAATTGATGAACTCATACTTGACTGTAGACACGAAATGGAGGAGGCCATGTCAAATATTAAATTTTTGCATATTCTAATAGAACCTTGTAGACGAATAGATAATGCAGATAACCCCACATCTCTAACCGAACTTATACCAAGAATTATTCACATTATTCGTTATATTTGGCTAAATTCGGAGTACTATAATCGGTCAGATTTGATAACAGGCCTCTTTCGTAATCTAAGCAACCAGATCATAAGATTTTGTACACAAAAGACTAACATGAAAAAAATACTCTCAGGATGTTCCAGATTCGGTATTAAAATGAGTAACATGTCTATTGATTGCTGCTTGACTTACAGGGGCATTTATGAGCGAATGGCTAAGGATCATGAATTTCAAAAATGTGACATTTCGTGGAGTTTTGATACTGCGATGATATTTAACCACTTAGATGCATTTATGGAACGTTTGAACGATGTTATTGATATATGCGAATCGATGATTGTGTTTGGAAGACTTGACGAAACCGAAACTATACCTAAGCCTCAATTTGGTGGCACCAGCGGGCCGGAGTTTGAAAAAATTGCTGAGAGCGTTGAGTTCAATTTTTTGTCTACATTGACGATGCTTAGTACCGATTCCAAAGAGTTAATTTTAAATGTACACAAGAACGAATGGTATGAGGAGGTACTTAAATATCGGCGAACCATTCAAAGCATAGAAGAAACCGTGCAGAGGCTGATGTCCAACGTTTTTCAACATGTATGCAATGTGGAAGAAGCAATTGAATGCCTTAATGTAATGCTATTTTACTCTTACCGAGGCAATTTAAAAAAAACGTACTTACGTCAAGTTACTAGCACTTGGATGCTGTTTGCTAACGAAATGGATTTAACCTATGGTATGCTAATGGATCGCAGTAAATTACATGAGTCTTTGGTACCGTACTATGCATCTCGTGCCATCAATTATCGCCTCAATCTTGAGAGACTAACATGGTTGCGAAATCGCTTGAATAATTCAGAATGGCTGCCTATTGTATCTGAAACATCTATGGTGTTATTAAGATTTGAAATGTTAAGGAGAGATTTTGAGATAGAGATACGCCATTCTTACGAAGAATGGCAGAAAAATTGCTGTAGTTCTGCTTTAACTCAAAAGCTTGATCGGTTTTTGCTTATACGCAGCAAGAAAAAAAAGGGTCTGCTTGAGTGCAATATTGATCGTACTGTAATCACCATTTGTGAACAAGTACTGCATTTTGAGCAACTTGGGTTTTCGGTGCCTGGGTCAATCCGAAAAATATATGAAAAATACGATGTACTTAGATTTGTATACAATAGTGTTGTCCAAGTGTGTCTCAACTACAATCACATTCTTTCCGCTCTTTCGGAACAGGAAAGAAAACTGTTTCGTGCTCTTATTCAGGCATGTGATCGTAAAATAGCGCCTGGGGTGTTTAAGCTTACATATGGAGGCGAGTTTAGTGACGCTTATATAGCCGATTGCGCAAGACATACAAGTAAACTTCAGGATACTATAGATATATACAAACGTGCGAATCGTCAAATAGCTCGCATGTGCGAGAAAATATGTGATACTCCAATGCTTAAGTTTACTTTAAACTGTGCTTTGCCTATTTTAATATTCGACCATCAATTATCAAGTTACGTACGCCGAATTACTAATATTTTACGAGGATATTACAACTCAATTATCGACCTTTTATTTGCTGTTTTCAAAGAGTTTCAGTCTGTAATCGAAGATGTAAGTATAGCAACCCTATACCCACTCCGACAAAAAAAAAGTGTACCCCAACTACAAATAGTGCAAAGTATGTAAGATGTAGAAGGAGGCATCTCCGACCCAGTCTGGATGAGCGCAAGGATCTCAAAAACTATAAGATCTGAAAAAAACAATGTTGGGTTCCAAATTCTCCTAGATCCGAAAATTGGCGAATTTATTTTATTTTTTTGAATTCTCCCCCCTTTTCCCGCTACTGAATTTCGTCAATACCTTCCACATTTCCAATGCAATACATACATAAACAATGCCATCATCAATGTCTATATAGTAAACTACTTTTTTTAATTTTCATTTAAATCTAAGTTATATGCGCCCATAGCAGAAACAAAAAGAGGAAGAAGAAGAGCGAACTTGTTGCTGCAGTTTGGGGGGGTTGTACTGGCGAGAATTTGTTTCGCTAATAACTTTTCTTAGAATTGACCGAATTGAATAAAATCATAAAATAAAAATTAAACAACAGTATATAATTATGTATATAGTAAATTATGTATGCAAAGTTTGGTTTAGGTAGTATTTGAAATGTGGTAGCGTTGACGAAATTCTGTAGCTTGGGAAGGGGGGGGGAATTAAAAAAAAATAAAATAAACTCGTCCTTTCTCACACCAAGGAGAATTGGATACTAACTTTGGTTATTCTAGCTTTTATAGTTTTTGAGATCCTTGCGTTCATCCTGACAGACAGACGGACGGACATGTCTAGATTGATTTCCCTCGTCATGCTGATCAAGAATATATATATAAGTACTTTATGGGGTCGGTGGTGCTTCCAGTACTATGAGCACAAACTGGGCACATTCAGTGCCAGATGTTTGGCTGGGTACAGGGTATTTTACTGTCTGACTTGCTCGACTGTGGCAGTCTCTTTTAATTTTAAAATTAATAAAATCTAAAGCAAATAACGTAACAATCTCTTCTCTATAGATGGCAGCAGAGTGGTATAGTTTTGTAAATGTGTTTGACGATATGTTGGCCACTGCACTTTTAACTAGTGCTCGAAATTCCCTGGTTATGATGCACACAGCCCTTCATCGTGATGCTAACGTGGTGGCTGCATCAATACTGGTTATGGAATCAGACATAAAGGAATGCCAAATAACTCTTAGTCCAAAAATGGATACTATTGCCAATGTATTAAATGGCAACATTCATCGAGTTCATAATATTCTTGATAAATTTCCAAGAATTGGAAATAAATTAAAATTACCTGTTGAACAGCAATATGAACCATTTACTAAAATATTCTGCGAAGACTTAGAATGTGTTGATCTTGTACATAATATTAAGGCTGAAATTGAACATCAGCGTGACGAAATAGCCCGCTATATAGTTTTTTGGAATGGTCATCGACCTATATGGGAAACTACGGAGAACGATTTTATAAAACACATGAGAGCCACTACTATGACAGCAGAGGTTTTCAATAGCAGCATTGAGTATTACAGCGCTATGGCTGATGATATTTCTTTTATCGATGCTATTTATCACGTTTATTTTATATTGATGAATCAGAATAATTTAAAGTGCTCTATTCTAGACTGGATTGAGAAATGGCAAGCTTTAAATATTAAATTACTATTAGATCATTCATTATTTTTACTACAAGGTAAACCACATGTTAATGTTTTAATCCTATATATAATACAACAAGTATATTTTCAGGTATTTATCGCTATATACGACATAATGAGCGCAAAATTATGATGGTTCCGCGAACCCTTAAGGAATCTTTAATTGCTAAAGAATTCTTCGAAAGGAAAATAATTGAAGCTCCAATAAAACATGCAACATTTCCACCAATGCTGGAATTATTTGCAGTTTTAGATAAATATCAGGTGGAAATTTCAGACGAAACTACTGAGCAAGTAGCTGGTCTGGAAGCGGCTTGGCAGCATTACCTAAAAAAATTAGCCGAAGCTGATGAGATGTTGGAAAACAATCGTGAAGAATTTAAAAAAACCCTTTTACAGCAAGCAGAAAAGTTTAAGATGATTCTTAAAGAGTTTTTATTTGATTTCTATTTAAAATTACCTACGGCATCAAATATGTAAATAATAATTTAATATTTATATATCTTTCACATAGAGCATAACGGTATATGTAATTTTTTTTTTCAACCATAACTTTTTTAGACATTACTGACCACTATTTCGTTTTTTATTTACTTAACGAATTATAACAAATATTACGTGGGGGAAAAAAGTTATTTTAAGCCGGTTGTGAATGGTATATAATTAAATTCGGCGCCGCCGAAGAAAATTTTTAGCTTATAATAATTTGATTATAAATACTCTTTTTTACTATACAGAAATCCTAAAATAGCATTAAAGTTTCTCAAGATCATAGCACTTAAGGTAGAAGATTGTTTTAAGTTTGAAGAAAGTTTGATGCGTGACTTGGCCGTTTTCAACGTTAATCAACCGGAGAGCTTTGATTTACAAAAATTAGATTCCGAAGTTAAAGTGGTTCAGAATATTTGGCAGCTTATACTAGAGTGGCAAACAAACTGGGATGCTTGGCGCAAGGGTAATTTTTGGAAAATTAACATAGATGAAATGGAAGACACTGCCCTTAGTCTCTACAAAGAATTTAGTATTTTAAGCAAAAAGCACTACGACCGACATTGGGAAATGCTTGAGGTAACTACTAAAAATTTGGATGGATTCAGGAGAACTTTGCCATTAATAACAGCGTTAAAAAATCCATGCATGCGCGAGCGGCACTGGAACCGTGTGCGTGATATTATGCAGGTGTAAGTTAAGTCCTTTTCTTGTTAAACTTTAAAGTATAATTGGTACCATTACAGTGACTTCGATGAGAATTCAAAGAAGTTTACTTTGGAGCTAATTATAAATTTGGACTTTCAGGCCTATTCAGAGGATATACAGGATATTTCAAACGCGGCGACTATGGAGCTTCAAATTGAGAATGGAATTAAAAACATTGCGGCAATTTGGAAGAAACAAGGGTTTGAAATGGCGTTTTACCACGATGGTATTTATCGTATAAAAAGTGTTGACGAATGTTTTCAATTACTTGAGGAACATATGGTTCAGATTTCAGCCATGAAATCCACTCGGTTCGTAGAGCCTTTTATAGAAATTGTTGATTACTGGGAGAAAACACTCTCCTACATAAGTGAGACGTTAGAAAAGGCGCTGAATGTTCAGCGGCAGTGGCTATACTTAGAAAATATTTTTCAAGGTGACGACATACGAAAACAGCTGCCAGATGAAGCAAAACGATTTACTGCTATTACAAATGAATTTCGGACTATCTCTGGAAAAATGTTTCAAGCTAAGACTGCTGTTAAAGCCACACATTTACGACCTCCGCCATTTTTATTAAATCGATTTAATCGAATGGATGAACGACTCGAATTAATTCAACGTGCTCTAGAGATTTATCTTGAAACTAAACGCCAGTTGTTTCCTCGTTTTTACTTTATATCTAACGATGACTTGTTGGAAATATTGGGAAATGCAAAACGTCCTGATCTTGTACAAATTCATCTAAAAAAACTTTTTGATAATTTATATAAACTTGAAATAAAGCGTGTCGGTAAGACCTTAAGCCGTTGGCAGGCTAGTGGAATTTACTCCGATGATGGCGAATATGTTGAGTTTCTACAAGTACTTTATATCGATGGACCATCCGAACGTTGGTTAAAGCAAGTCGAAGAAGACATGTACAATGTTATGAAAGAGCAACTCAAGCTTACACGGGGTTCACTTAAGAAGCTTATAAGTAATCGCGAAAAGTGGATATCATTATGGCCAGGCCAGATGATCTTAACAACAGCACAAATTCAATGGACAACTGAATGCACTCGCAGTTTAATCCATTGTAAAATGGTTGACCAAAAAAAACCATTACGAAAACTTAAAAGAAAACAAAATAAAGTTTTAATGAAGCTGTCTGAAATGAGTCGCAAAGAACTAACAAAAATAATGCGTCTTAAAGTGAATACGCTTATTACACTCGAAATACATGGACGTGATGTCATCGAACGAATGTACAAAGCAAACTGCAAAGATACTGGTCATTTTGAATGGTTTTCCCAATTACGATTTTATTGGCACCGCGAATCAGAGCTCTGTGTAATAAGACAAACCAACACTGAACACTGGTATGGCTATGAGTATACTGGAAATTCTGGTAGATTAGTTATAACACCTCTGACGGATAGGTGTTACATTACACTGACCACTGCTTTGCATTTGCATCGTGGCGGAAGTCCTAAAGGTCCTGCAGGTACAGGCAAAACGGAGACCGTGAAAGATCTAGGTAAAGCCTTAGGCATGTGGGTGATAGTTACGAACTGCTCAGAAGGACTAGACTATAAAAGCATCGGGAAAAATTTTTCAGGCCTAGCACAAAGCGGCTGTTGGGGATGTTTTGATGAATTTAATCGAATTAACATAGAGGTACTTTCAGTAGTAGCACAACAAATTATGTCTATAATGGCGGCATTGTCAGCAAAATCGGTAGAGTTTGTCTTTGAAGGACAATTGATTAAGCTGAAACATACAGTCGGACTGTTCATTACCATGAACCCTGGCTATGCAGGACGAACAGAACTTCCAGATAATTTAAAGTCTATGTTTCGTCCGATATCAATGATGGTACCGGATAACATCATTATCGCTGAAAATCTCCTTTTCTCAGACGGATTTTCCAATACGCGAAATCTAGCCCGAAAAGTATTTACTTTGTATGAGCTGGCAAAGCAGCAGCTTTCAAAACAGTTTCATTACGATTTTGGACTTCGATCTATGGTGGCTTTATTGCGTTATGCTGGCCGGAAAAGACGTCAGCTTCCTAGCACTAATGAAGAAGAAATCGTATATCTTGCAATGAAAGATATGAATGTTGCTCGCTTAACGGCAAATGATTTACCTTTATTTAATGGAATTATGTCGGATATATTCCCAGGTGTCACATTGCCAATTATCGACTATAGCGAGTTTAATGTAGCTATAAATGATGAATTTAAAGAACATGGCTTACAGACAATATCCATAGGAGTAAAAAAAGTTATTGAACTTTATGAAACAAAAAATTCACGACACTCTGTAATGATAATAGGTGACACTGGCACAGCGAAATCAGTGACATGGCGAAGTCTCCAAGGAGCTTACTGTAGAATGAATTCACAACATATGCTTGGATGGGAAGCAGTCGTTGTTCATCCTATAAATCCAAAAGCTTTAAATTTGGCTGAGCTTTATGGTGAATATAATTTGGCCACAGGTGAGTGGTTGGATGGTGTACTAAGCTCTGTCATGAGAATTATTTGTGCCGACGAGGATCTTACTCAAAAATGGTTGTTGTTTGATGGACCGGTCGATGCTGTCTGGATTGAAAATATGAATTCAGTGATGGATGACAATAAGCTATTAACTCTAGTTAATAGTGAACGTATTACTATGCCTATGCAAGTGTCACTTCTTTTCGAAGTTGGGGACTTGGCCGTTGCTTCCCCCGCAACAGTATCACGCTGTGGAATGGTATATAATGACTACAATGATTGGGGATGGCAACCATTTGTTCATTCATGGCTGCAACGGCAAAAACTTAAGGAACATGCTGATTATATGCGACAACATTTTGAATCCATTCTTACTAAGCTACTTGAGTTTAAACGAACGCGTTGTAAAGAACCTGTTAAAACGAATGAATTAAATGTAGTGATTTCGTTATGCAAATTGCTTGATGGATTTGCAACAAAACAAAATGGAATCAATATACACAACTTAGAGCTCTTAGAAGAAATGACGAAGCTTTGGTTTATGTTCTGCCTAGTATGGTCTGTTTGTGCAAGTGTTGATGAAGAAAGCCGTTTAAAACTAGATGCTTTTATACGTGAAATTGAGAGCTGTTTTCCTATTAAAGATACCATATACGATTATTACGTAGACCCCATTGAGCGAACATTTCTACCATGGGAAAGTAAGCTTTCGGACTCATGGCAATATGACGAACAGTGGGTTTTACTTCTTTTTTTTTTTTCAATTATAATAGTAATAAAATATATTTTCCAGATTGCCATTTTATAAAATCATTGTACCGACAGGTGATACTGTGCGTTATGAATATATAGTATCTAAACTTTTATCAGAGGAGCATCCAGTTATGCTTGTAGGTAATGTTGGAACTGGTAAGACGTCAACGGCTACAAGTGTCATGGACACGTGTGATAAAAATAAATTTTGCATACTATCTATTAATATATCGGCACAAACAACATCGGCTGGTCTACAGGAGTCCATAGAAAATCGAACGGAAAAGCGAACGAAAACTCAATTTGTGCCAATTGGCGGAAAGAGGATGATTTGTTTTATGGATGACTTTAATATGCCTGCAAAGGATTCATATGGCTCACAGCCGCCACTGGAATTAATAAGACAGTGGATAGATTATAAATACTGGTTTAATCGAAAGAGCCAACAAAAGATATATGTTCAAAACACATTACTTATGGCTGCCATGGGCCCACCGGGAGGGGGTAGGCAAATTATTTCTCCTCGCACTCAAAGCCGATTTGTTCTGATTAATTTAACTTTTCCGACTCAAGATACAATTGTGCGTATTTTTGGAACTATGATCAAACAGAAGCTTGCGAATTTTACAAACGAAGTGCGCGAGATGTGGCTTCTAATTACCCAATCTACTATTGCTCTCTACTCAGCTACAATTATAAAAATGCTCCCTACACCAAACAAGTCGCACTATCTTTTTAATCTAAGGGACATTTCAAAAGTTTTTCAGGGTCTTCTTCGAGCCACACCGGAAATACTAACGAAGAAAAATTTTTTTTTACGGCTATGGATACATGAAAGTTTTAGAATATTTTCCGATCGCCTAGTTGATGACTTAGATCAGAGCTGGTTTTTAAATGCAATTAACGAAACGTTGGGGAAGTTTTTTGAGGTAACCTTCCACAGTTTATGCCCGTCAAAACTTCCTCCTCTTTTTGGAGACTTTTCCCATCCTCAGGGATTCTATGAGGATTTGCAGATTGATACACTGCGGTCATATATGATCAACCAACTCGAAGAATACAATAATTTTCCTGGAATGACTCGTATGAATTTAGTATTTTTTAAGGAGGCAATTGAACATATTGTTAGAATATTACGAATTATATCTCAACCCCGAGGACACATGCTTAATATGGGCATTGGCGGCTCGGGCCGACAGGTACTTGGAAAACTTGCAGCATTCATTTTAGAAATGGGTATATTTCAAATTGAAGTGACAAAGAAATATAAGACTGGCGAGTTTCGTGAGGATCTAAAAACCCTTTATAAATTAACGGGTGTAAAACAACGCTTGACAGTATTTATTTTTAGTAGTGAACAAGTTGCAGAGGTCTCATTCCTAGAAATAATAAACAACATGCTTAGTACCGGTGAAATAAATCTATTGAAATCAGATGAGTTCGATGAATTGAAGACAGAATTAGACCGGCCCGCTAAGAAAGCTGGTGTGCCGCTGACCACAGAAGCTTTGTATACGTTCTTTATGTTAAATGTTCGTGACTTTATGCATATTATATTATGTTTTAGTCCTATTGGAGAAAAATTTCGTAGTTATATTCGCCAATATCCAGCACTATTAAGTGCTACAACTCCAAACTGGTTCCGATCCTGGCCCCAGGAGGCACTCCTTGAGGTAGCATCGCATTTTTTGCATGGCTTTCAGCTGAACGTTCCGACACCAGGAAAGGAAGATGAAAAACACCGCGATAGCCTTGTCATGACTACTGAGAATGTTTTGCATCGTGACATTGCTCAAGCATTCTCTATTATACATTCTTCTGTAGCCAAAATATCTGAAGTCATGTTAATTGAAATGAAGCGACACAACTATGTGACATCACCTAACTACCTACAATTAGTTAGTGGATTTAAAAAGCTCTTACAAAAAAAAAGGATTGAAGTTTCAACTGCAGCTAACCGTTTGCGTAATGGATTATCCAAAATTGCTGAAACTCAGGAAAAAGTCACCTTAATGTCAGAAGAATTAAAAGTCAGTTCTGAGCAAGTAAAAGAACTCGCTATAGAGTGTGAGGACTTTATTGCCATGATTGAGATTCAAAAGGCGGAGGCAACTGAACAGAAAGAAAAGGTCGATGCCGAAGCCGTTATTATTAGGCGCGAGGAAGTTATATGTTTGGACTTGGCAGCAGTAGCTCGAGCAGACTTGGAAGTGGTCATGCCAATGATTGATGCTGCAGTAAAGGCTTTAGATGCACTTAATAAGAAAGATATTTCAGAGGTTAAGTCATATGGACGACCGCCTATGAAAATAGAAAAAGTTATGGAAGCCGTTTTAATACTTTTGGGCAAAGACCCTACCTGGGAAAATGCGAAAAAAGTACTTAGTGAGTCTACATTCTTAAACGATCTAAAAAATTTCGACCGCGATCATATATCAGATAAAACTCTTAAAAGAATTGCGAATTATACAAAGAATCCTGAACTCGAGCCTGATAAAGTAGCTGTAGTATCTCTTGCATGTAAATCACTAATGCAATGGATTATTGCTATTGAAAATTATGGAAAAGTGTACCGCATTGTGGCACCCAAACAAGAAAAACTTGATAATGCGATGCGATCATTGGAGGAGAAACAGGCAGCTCTTGCGGCTGCAAAAAAAAAGTTAGAAGAGCTACAAGCAGTAATTGAGGAGCTGTATCGTCAGTTAAATGAGAAAAGTGCACTTTTAAATGAACTAAGAGCAAAGGAGGAACGTCTTAGAAAGCAGTTAGAACGTGCTATTATTCTTGTAGAGTCACTATCGGGGGAACGTGCACGTTGGATTGAAACCGTATCCCAATTGGATCTTGCATTTGAGAAGTTACCAGGGGATTGCCTTCTTTCAATTGCATTTATGTCTTACCTTGGTGCGTTCGACACGAAATACCGAGAGGAACTTCTCATGAGATGGGCTCAATTAGTTAAAGACTTACTTATCCCAGCAACGGCAGATCTAAAAATAGCACTGTTCCTTAGTGATGCAGTTTCTATTCGGGAATGGAATATACAAGGCTTGCCTGCTGATGATCTGAGTACAGAAAATGGAGTAATTGTAACGCAGGGCAGCCGCTGGCCACTAATTATTGACCCACAAATGCAGGCTAACAACTGGATTAAAAATATGGAAGAGCACCAGCAGCTAATGGTAATCGATTTTGGAATGAGTGATTACCTAAGGCAACTAGAACGTGCCTTAAGGGAAGGATTACCGGTTCTTCTTCAAAATGTCGGCGAGAATTTAGACCAAGCCATAAATCCTATTCTGCGACGTAGCTTTACTATTCAAAGTGGAGAGAAGCTTATTAAGTTTAATGATAAGTACATTTCTTATAACAATCGTTTTCGATTTTATATCACTACTAAGATATCAAACCCACATTATCCACCCGAAATATCATCGAAAACGATTATAGTAAACTTTGCCCTAAAGCAAGATGGTCTGGAAGCTCAGCTCTTAGGAATTATAGTCCGCAAAGAAAAGCCAGCACTTGAAGAACAGAAGGACGAACTAGTGGTAACGATAGCTCGCAACAAACGCACTTTAATTGATCTAGACAATGAGATTCTGCGATTGCTAAATGAAAGTCGTGGATCATTGCTTGATGACGATGAACTTTTTTCTACCCTACAAAAATCCCGTCAAACTTCCATATTGGTAAAAGAGTCCCTAAGTATTGCCGAGATAACAGAGGTCGAAATAGATTCTGCGCGTCAGGAATACAAACCTGCTTCAGAACGTGCTGCTATCCTATTTTTTGTATTAATGGATATGTCAAAGATTGACCCAATGTATGTCTTCTCCCTATCCGCTTATATATTACTGTTTACACAGTCAATTGAGCGCAGTCCCCGGAACCAACTGATTTATGAGCGGATACAAAATATAAACGACTATCATACATACTCCGTATATCGAAACACCTGCCGTGGACTTTTTGAGAAACATAAACTTCTGTTCTCCATTCATATGACTGCAAAAATACTTTCCAATGCCGGAAAACTAGTAGAGGAAGAATACGAATTTATTCTTAAAGGTGGAATAGTAGTAGATAAGCAAGGCCAGGCTCCTAACCCAGCTTCATGTAAGTTATCTCTAGTTTTCACAAAAAACATCCTTACTTCAAAACCAGATCTGATTTTTCAACACTAGTTATTATATCTTTTATATTGTTCAATAATTTAACAAATGGTAGATCTCAAAATTCATGTTCATTCACGGATATAGTTAATACATATATCCGTTGATATTCAAACTTAACTTAATATCAGTATATATAATTATATAATTGGAAGGTCCCTTAGAGAGAGTCTGGATAATTATATATACTGATATTAAGTTAAGTTTGAATATCAACGGATATATGTATTAACTATATTTTGAGGACACAGGAATATTGGAACTGAAATGTCCCCCAAATTATGCCTGGGTATACACATACTATATATTCATTAATATAAAACCAAGTTTGAATTTTAACGGTAACATACATTTCATTATACTCAATATATATATTGGAAATGAAATATGTCCCCTAAATTTATATATATATATATATATATATATATATATATATATATATTATTCTAGGCTCCGAAAAATATACGTTAAGCATATATATATATATATATATATATATATATATATATATATATATATATATATATATATATATATGTAAAGTTATGTTAAGTACAATATATTTAAATAATGATACAAATTATAACAATAGTTCAATTAATTCAGTTCAATTCAATTCAATATGATTAATATGTTCACGACGGTTGGCGTTGACAACTTCTTCGACTGACGACCATTCACGACGACTCTCTGCAACGACTGTTCTCTCTCGACTGCTTCTAACGACTTGCTCTTCTCTTGTGTCTGTTGTCCCTCCGCTTTGTAGCTTTGTCGCTTTTGGTGTGTCGCCTGATCGCCTGTAACTTGCCTGCTTACATTCGGCCCTCCTGATTCTCGTCATCTGTCCCAGATGACAACAGATCCTCGTTTTCAGCCACATACCTCCATAACTTCATATTGTCATCGCTTGTAGCCGTAACATTTGGCCCTTCGACGTTTGCTGCTTTCTTGACTTCATAACGGCCGTTTCTCTTAGCCTTCGTTACCTCGTACGGACCCAGGAACTCTGTGGCTAGCTTGCGACCGGCAACAAACTGCGTTCTTTTTACTGCAACAAGATCGCCGACGCTATAGCCATGCTCTCGTTTACGCTTTTTGTCGAAATTGCGCTTATAGGTTCGTTGTGCATCTTTAATGTTATTTTTAACCAGCTGACGCAATTTTAGGCGCTCATCATCGAACTGCTTGATGTTGTCTTCATTTAGTATCTCCAAAACGCGATCCTCGACTTTGTTGTTCATCTTTGTACCAAACATGACTTCAAACGGAGAAGCCTTTGTGCTTGCATTCACGTTTGAATTAATAGCTTTCTGTACTTGCGCCACATGTTTGAACCACTTCGACGTTTCATCAATCGACAATTTTGTGATGACTGACAAAATAGAACGATTAACGCGCTCTATCTGCCCGTTCCCTCTGGCTACTCCTGTAGTACAACGCACGTGGTCAATCTGGTATTGGTTCAGAAACTTGCTGAATGCAACTGATGTAAATGCCGATCCTCTGTCGCTTACAATGCGCTTTGGAAACCCAAAAACATCAGACCAACTTTTCAGCTTACGTACGACTTCTTCTTGTCCAGTAGATTTTGTGGGAAACAGCCATACAAATTTTGAAAAAGCATCCACCATTGCGAAGATATATTTGTACTGTTTAGACGTCGCATCCAATGGCCCCAAGTGGTCAACGTGCAGCGTATGGAGGGGCGTATCTCCTTTGTCTATACAGTACAACAAGCCTTCCTGCTTTCCCAACTTTCTGTTACTTATTATGCACTTTATGCAATTGGCGACGAACTTTGCAACTTTATGCTCCAAATGTGGGATCCAATACTGCTGTTGAATATAGTGCATGGTTTTTTTGCGCTGCGAAATGACCAACTTCGTGAGCTTCTTGTATTACTTCGCGCTCCATCCCTTTTGGAACTACGAACAGTTCATTTCCGCTGACGCACTTGTAGAGAATGCCACCTTTCAGCTTGTAGTCTTGGTAGGGGCGTTCTTTAAGGACTTCTGCGACTGCCTTAATGTGCTCATCATTCTGCTGCGCTTTCTTTAACTGAGGTAGGATCTCTGCACTGGCGACATAGCATGATTGTGGGTTGCGGCTGAGGTAATCAACATGTTTCATTCTATCAGCTGAGCGGTGTTCAACATCAAACGTAAAGTCTTGCATGTACAATATCCATTGCGCGACTTCCCTTGGTACATCGATCTTGGACGTTGTCTGCTTAAAGGCAATACAGTCTGTTACCAACTTAAACTGTATTCCTAAAATGTAGTGTCGAAATTTCTTCAGGGCGAGGTAAGCTGCTTTCACTTCTAGGATGTAACTGTGCCTCTTGCAGTCTGCATCAGACGTCTTCTTGCTCCAGAAATATACCGGGTGGAACTTGGCATCAAACTTTTGCAGCAACATCGCACCGAATCCGTCTTTGCTAGCATCTGTGTGAACTTCTGTTTCGGCATATCGGTTGTAGATGTGCAAAATTGGCTCACTACTGAGAGCCTGTTTTAGCTGCTGTAGCGACTGCTTTTCTGCTGGACCAATTATAAACTCAGTATCCTTCTTTAGAAGATTCGTTAGCGGGCGAGCCATGTGAGCGTACTTAGGAATGAATCGCCTGAAAAATCCGGTAAGCCCAAGAAACCCCTGTACGGCTTTAATGTTATGCGGCTCAGCAAAACGAATAACGGCTGTAGTTTTCTCTCTTCCAGGCCATATTTTCCCATCTGCGACAAAATGTCCAAGAAAACTTATACGCGACTGAAGAAAGCTGCATTTTTCCCATTTTATTTTCAGCTTATACTGGAATGCTGTCTCTAAGACCATCTTAGTTTTCTGCATACATTCGTCTGGTGTTTTAGCGTAGACAATAATGTCATCCATATACAACTGCATTATGTCTTCGTTGATCAGCTCTTGGAATATGTAGTTCACAAAGCGAATGAAAGCGGCTGGTGAGTTCTTAAACCCAAATGGCGCTTTGTTGAACTCGAAAAGGCCCTCTCTGGTTACAAACGCCGTGAAAGCTCTGCTTTCTTCATCCACTGGTACGTGAAAGAACCCATTCTCGAGGTCCATGATGGTGAAGTATCTGGCAGCTTGAAGCTTCTCTAAGACCTCCTCCATTAGTGGCACAGGGAAACAATCGTCGAGTACCATCTTGTTCAGCTTTCTGTAGTCGACGCAAACTCGTAGTGTGCCATCTTTCTTCTTCACAACGACTACTCTGCTTGCCACGTTCGAAGTTGACTTGCGCACTACACCTTGCTCAAGCCACTCGTCCACTTGCTTTTTCACTGCATCTGATTCATCAGCCGATAGACGACTTGGCGAATGACGGAACGACTGGACAACTGTGTCCGGGACAATTTTCATAGTGATCGGACACTGCTTTGGTTCATCTGGTGGCATCTGGGTGCTGCTTTCTATTAACTGCTCTACACTCTTCAAGAACTGAGGCGGGGCTGTAATAGATGGGACTTCAATAACATTGTAAATGTTTAGGTCATACTTATCGTCAGAGATCTGCTGCGCTTCAAGGGCCTCAAACGCATAGCCCTTCGAATCGACAGTCAAGCGGAATTTTTCGATAAAATCATGCCCCAACAGTACATCGTAGTCGACTTTGCAGCTTGGGACCACCATAAACTTCTGATTTGTGTGCAGACCATCTACTGTTATTTCGGCTATGAAGAACCCAACAGGTTTCGTTGCTATGTTGCCCAAGCCTCGCAACATGGATGAACTCTTTAGAATGTCAACATTGGCGATATTTTTAGCTACATTTTCTTTAATAATTGTTACGTCAGAGCCGGTATCCACAAGGCACTCTACTTTTGTACCATTTATCCAGGCCAACTTCACACGGCGGCGATCAACAACAACACGCACTTTATTTTCGTTCTTAGGGCAACTACTAGATATGTGACCGCTTTGATTACACTTAAAACATTTTACAGCAGCTGTGCAATCCTTACGTTTATGCTCAGATGAGCCACAATTAAAGCAATGGTCCTTCTTTGCGCCTTGATCTACCACGTTTTTTATATTTGAATTCTGCTTCGGTTTGTTTTGCTTTTGCTCACTTGTGTTCAGCCGGTCAAAAATGTCATATTCCTCTTTTAATGCTTTAAATGTTTTACAACGATACATCGCGCACTTATATTCAGCTTTTATAAACAAACCATCAACAATATAGCGAATAACTGCCGCATCTTCCACATTACCGACTGACGCTAATTTTTTCATCTGTAGCATGTATTCATGAAAGGTTTCGTCTTTTTTCTTTTTCCGCTCTTGCAACCGCTGATGTATATCTGCACTATTTAGGCTACATTCAAACTCTTCTACTAATGCCCTTTTCAATTCATAGTAGTCACCGACTGTTTCAGACTCTAAAAATAGCTTGGCGGCACCACACATTTTATTTCTAGCTTGTACATATTTCTGCATATCGGACAAATCATAGGCATTTGCATTCTTTTCAAACATTTCAAACCATTTATCTATCGGAACTGTATACCCATCACATTCACACACAACTTTGTCAAAACTGTCTATCGGGATTTTCACTCTTTCATTTTCTCTCTTTTCATCGATTTCCACTTTCAGTGTTAGCAACTGCAACATTTGCTGAATTTTGCACTCTATACCTTCTTGCTGCTTCTCCATCTTCTTTTCACACAACTGCTGCTCTATATTCTTTTCACACAACTGGTCACCCTGATCTTGTTCAACAATAACAACTTCTTGCGGTACTATACCAACAGCTTCCTGCATTTCATCACTTTGTTCTTTTACTTTTGCGTCCTTCTTTGCCGGCGTACGTTTGACCTTGGTCATAGTTTCGCTTTAATTGTTTTTTATTTCACAACTGCGGGTATATAACTGTAACTTTTCGCTCGATCGTATGATGCTGGCGCCAGGCTGACAATACGA